CCCTGAACAAGCAGCCTGGGTGCATGATATAGCCGATGAAAATGCCCGGTGCAGAAGTTGGGTCAAACCTCAAATTATCCTTCACTCTCTTTCTCGGCCCTGTCCAATAGTCGATCTTGCAACCGAATGGGACAATTGGACCCTTGAACTTCTCCCCAAAACGAAGTTCCCATGGTGACTTGTCTTCATCATCAAACTGGGCAATGTTGTTGCTCACACACCAGTGTCTAGCAGCATGGGGCCAGTATTGGTGGCGCAGTCCCGACTGCAACAAACTCACCCTGGTTCCCTCAACGATCGATCGAATCGTTCGCTCGGCAACTGCATTGCTCTGGGATATGTAATCCTTCGATGTTACATGTCGCCACTGTAATGTGCGCGGAGCACTGATGAGTTCTGGGGCATTGTCGGAGTAAAAGATCTTCACGATTGCTTCGTCAAGAACAAAATGTTTGAAGGAGTTGATGGTAGACTCCGCATCTTTTCGCGCAGACGGGTAAACATAAGTGAACCCTGAATATACATCTTTAAGTACAAGACCAATACCTTCATCCTCATCACCTGCTTCTTCACCTTTGGCGGTGATAATGAAGTCCCCAGTAACATGATCACCAAAAGCCTCAGCCTTGATCTGACGGGATCCGCCCCTGGCTCTTGAGGGATACTTGATCATTTTGGCCTTCCGACAAACATCACAAAACTCGTTCTTGGGTATGTGAGTCATCAGATGGGCGATCGATTTGGATTCCCTCTTCAGCAAGGCTTCCCCCCGTCCGCGTTCTGCCACCAAGGGTCCTGGTACCTGATCGTCCAGGGCATCATCACTAGGGTTAGAACCATCCGTTGGCGGCTCGACCTTCCGGTCAGCGGCGCTGGGCGGCTCAGCCTTCCGGCTGGCTTCTCCTTCTTCTCTCCTACTCCCATCATCATCCCCCCCGCATCATCTGAGCCCTTTGCGACTTCAGCAGGTAGGGCCAGCGGAGTGGTAGTAGACGAGGGTGTAGAAGGCCGACTTTCCGATGAAGAAGAAGCTTCAGCACAAATCCCAGCGTCGACGATCGGACGTGAACGCGACTTGCAAGGCATGGCTTTCTTGATCTTGGACGGGACGTACGGCGCATAATCTCGTACTGTTAATTCGAACACCATCGGGCTTTTGAAAGTATGGTTCCTTGCCGGCTCTCCAAACAAAGTCATAACCTATACACTTGACACCGACGGACATAACAGGTGGGGTGGACTCGAGTAAATATGGTGTGAAGTTACACTCTAATGTCTCGTTTCTCACCTTACCTTGCAGGTATGACGAACTCTCTCCATTAGCAATTGATATCGGTCCGGAATGTCGTATTTGGTTGCAAGGTCCTGAGCACTTCCAGTGTCTGCAATCCAGTCCTCACCTGAAAGGAGATAGTGCTCAACCTGCTGCTCGGATGCTGCTGGTGTGGCATACAGTGTCTTTGGAATGCAGTGGTCACAACCTATAGTGGACTTGCACATGTAACGACACTTGGCCTTGAACCCTTGCAACTCATTCTGCACTGCTCCGGCAAGCATTTTGGCCGACAGGATAGAATCTTGAATTGCCGATGGGTTGGGACTCATAGCGAATTCGATGGGATAGAACTTTGATGGACTCTTCCTCTCCACCTCGTACGGATACAAACTCCCGGACGTGCGATATTCGGTGATGTTCGGCTTAGACTCGAATTTCACTTTGATCTTGGCTGGGCAAGCGATGCTCGGCCAACCGTTCCCGGTGGCAAGTCCTTCAACGGATGATGCAAGCATGGACACAACCAGACAAACTGCGGCAGGCGTAACTCTGGGAGACGATCGGTTCGAACCTCCGGAACCCTTGGACCCCTTTGATTTCCGAGAACCATCGGAACCGGATCGGCGACCGCTCTTGTCCCGTTTGCCCCTCTTGTCCTTCTTCCGCTTGTCCTTCTTATCGCTTCCGCGGGAACTGCGGGATCCTGACCTGGCAGGAGTGGCCTTGCGGGGCTTCTGTTTGCCTGCATGGGAGAATTCACAATCACTCCCCCGTTTGCATCGTCCGGCTTTCCAATACTTACGCGTAATCTTGGACTTGTCTTTACCCTCACGACTGGTGGAACGACCTCTACTTGGTTTTCGAGTCTTCTTCGGAGGAGTCTCATGCTTGTACGTGCAGTTCTCTTTGGTGCAACTGCCCTTGTTCCATGCGACGCAGTACCCCTTTGGGATGAATGGAGTTTTCTTCCGATCGTCGTCGACTGCTGGAGTGGACGGTCTCGGACCTCCAAGGCTGCTGTGGATCCGATCACGGTTCGACTCAAGCCTTTCCCTCCGGAGGTACCTTTGTACAGCATCAACAAGGTATTTGTAGGAATGATTCTCAGTTCCTTCTTCAGCACGATTGTAAATTTCGATGTCATGTTGTATAGCTCGTACATTCTTGATTTGTTCATAGAACAGGGTTTCCAAAACTGATGGATCCGGCGGATGAGTGATGCCGGCGTTCACAGTGTCCCAGTTCGAAATGAAGGTTCTTTTCTCCCTTGAGCTTCACAGCAAACAAATCCTTCAATGAGTACGTGGCTCCATGCTTGATATTCGTACTGAAGAAATCATCCATCATCAACAGAGCTTGTCGTCCTCTCACAGGGCGGTCGGCAGCTGATTCTTTCTCTTTGAAGGTATTGACCTTTCTAGCGAATTCACCTGAACAGATGTTGGACAGTGCTGACAACAATTTCGCATCAAGAGTAGTGAATCCCTCCGGGTCAACCAAATCAGTAGTCACTGTTCCCTCCTTCCATACCTTATTGATCCACACGAAAGCTTTGTCTGGAGTTTTCGATGCGGCGCGAACGGCATCCCGCACCTTGATCTTCCAGTCCCTGTAGCTTTCGGGATATGGGAAAGGCGGAACTTTGATGTGATCTGCTTCTTTGGCGTTATTCTCGGAGTTCTTCTTTTTCCCCTTGAGAAGTTGTTTGAGGGCATTCAACAAATCACGGCCCGAGAGATTTCCGTCTTCGTCATCATCGTCGTCATCGTCATCCCCATCCCCGTCATCATCGTCTCCAGGCTCGTCAGGCGGGCCTCCTCCACCGACATTAGCTTTCTTCGGACTCGGCCGAAGGTTCCCCTTGGCTTCATCTCCCTTTGGAGGACCGTTACCACCTTCTGGCTGAGGCGGTGGGGGATCACCTCCGGGCGCTCCATTTGGAGCCTTACGGGTCTGATCACTGGTTCCCAGTGGCAGCGGTGGAATCACACCTTCGCCTGACCTCATGGAGTTCAATGGTGAACCAAAAAGGGATTCCTCATTTGGTTCCTTCTGAACCGGATTGTCCTTTGGTTCTTTTTTGACGGTTTCCCTAAGCATAGCCGGGTTGGGGATGGATGGAGAGTAGTCTCGGGTTTGAAGTTCATCGTTGCCCCCTGCGGGAATCATTGGAAGACCCCTGGGACCCAGAACGGCTGGACCTTCCGGTGCGCGAACGGCGGACCAAGAACTGAACAGGTCGTTCTGGTGTCTGGCATCTCGGAGAGCACTCAGTTGGCTTTGAAGATCAGTTTGCTTCTTCATGGACTGTCTCAACTCCAATTGAAGGCTTTCCGTTTGCCGATTCTGGCGCTCTACATGGTTATTCAATGATTCAATGGTTGCCATGCACTTCTCAATTGCATGATCACTACGAATACGTGCATCTAACATCTGACTCTCATGGTGTTGTTTCATGGACCTAAGCTCGGCCGCAGAAGCCTCGGCGTAAGCCTCATAACCTCTCTGGGCAGCTTCAACAAAAGCGGTGGCTTCCTGTTTGACGACCGTGTTCTCATGAAACATTTGCTCAGCTTCGTTCATAAACCTTAATCCCTGCATACGCATCTCGTCACGCTGGGCGCTCACTATGTTGAGCTGTTCACCTTGAATGTCCATGGCATGCCGGTGTCTCTCTTCGGCAACAGCCTCGATCAATCTAGCATCAGTTGTCGGGGCTTGGTGAACATGCAAGTGCTGATTCAACACATTAGTATTACTCAGGTTGACCGGCACAGCGTTCCCGCTGGCACTCATGGAGGGAGGGTCGTAACGGGCAATGTCAAGCCCTAAAGGCGTGTCCAAAAACCCATACCCTTCCGGCACGAGCGCCGTGGAACTAGCAACCTCAGGCGTTGCTTCACGTGCGGACATATTGTCCGGGTCCGACGATAAATCGATAATCGACGGATACCTCTGTCCAGCCATGGCGTGGGGCACGTGGAACGAGCGAGAGAACTGTGTGAGACCTACGGCTGATAACCTATTTCACACAGGAAACAGCCTATAAGAGGCCCTTTTTCCTTGAGCCAATACCACGAGGTAGGGTACATGTGTATGTACAACACTAGTGAGAAACATCCCCGAATGGGGTACGCTTTTGAGTGGGACGGGGTGCCCTTTTTCGTCTTGATGTCGAGGCGTTGTGGAGGTGAAAAAGGGCACGCCTGTAGTCCGGGAAAGCTTTCGTGATAATATACTACAACTTATACTACAGTATATAATATACCATATGATGTGGACACTCGCGTCCTTCATCCTTTCAAACATAGTTTTCCAGAATGGTGATCATGTATGTTACGGCAATTTGAGTCGTGGTACAGATTGCACACAGCAACTATCAGCAACCGACCCAGTCAATCCCAGTCACATGGCATCACTGCTCCAAAATAACTTCATCTGAGTTGATCGAATCATCTCTATGACTGTTTGACCGGTGGTTTTTGACTCGCATGAGCATGTCTGACAATGTGGCAAAACCTGCTGGCCTCCTTCTCCATTGCAACTCCAATCTTCATTCGGTCTTCCCCACCTCGCTCACGTGGAAGGCTGCCAACTGTGAATCACACCCAAATTTGAACCAAGACACTGAATGTTGATGTATGTTGTACATTGAACAGTGAAGACAAAGCTGAAGTGCGTGCTGCATGTGGCTTTCAACCAAAGTCTCCTCATTATATATTTTTTATATGGATGGGGAGCTCCTGAGGGATTGGCCCAGGTTTAGCTCCACCCAAGTAGCTTTCCTGGGATGGCAAACACGCAAGAGAAGCTTCGCACCAAATCTTCCAATTGTCAGTGTGGAATCCAAGTGTTGTTAGCCAACTGCCACGTGTTTTTAATGCCGTCAGCAGCGAGACCAGTGCACGGCGCTCTGCATGCCTGGAGCGGTCATGTTCAACAACAACAGGGGCCAGCTCATCGCAAAGGCCCGTGGCTCCATAAGGCACCACCGCGCTTTGAAGATCTCCAAAGGTTGCGGATCTCCAGGCCAACAACTGTTGAGCAAAGGGTGGAAGTTCTCCGTTGCCATTCCTCCTCTCAAACGGCATAAAGGTCGTGACAGTTGCAGACCTCGCACAGTACCGTGCCCAGCCTACCCAGCGAAACACACTCCGCCCAGCACACCCACAGGTGCTCTTCAAGGCTTCCTCTGTTCCATGACGGCCCAAGCCGAAGATCTGGTCAACATCGAACTTGGAGCTCAAAGAGATGGGCAGCCGACGATGCAAGGATCGGAAGGCCTTGGCGGAAGCCAAGTCACAAGCATCTAGAAGCTCTAAGGTCTCAATGGCAGAGTTCATCAGCAGGAAGGAGGAGAAGCGCCCCACTCGCTCCACATCGTTTGGCCTTCGGCTTTGAAGGTCCAGCTGGACCATTGACGCCAAGCGACCCAAGACCCACCGCGCTGAGTGAGCACCTGCTTGGCTGAGAACAGTGGCGACCTGGCGGAGGCTCACCAAGTTTGGAGCAAGCCTCTGCTCTGTCCCGCACGCTTTTCTCGGATTCTTTGTGGTACTCTCAGCTTCACCATCCATCTGCTCAAGCAGCAGCAATGCTTCTTGCCACTGAGCACAAGAGAGCTCGATATTCAAAATGATCAAATTACGAGACAGGCGCAATTCTTTCATTTCCTCCAAGAACACTGAGAGCAGGGACTCTGGTGCTGTTCTGCAGGCACTGCACATAGCTCCATAAGCAACAACGTTGGGCTTGACATTGCGAGCTTGGAATTCACGCCAAACATATACAGAATCTTCCCAACGCTCAGTTCTTCCGCACGCGCTGATACATGTGGAGCAGCTGAAAGCATCCGGCTGTATTGACCTCATCTTGTGCATCAAAGACAAAACCATATCCCAGCGTAGTCGATGTTCACAAGCCTTGGCTGCAGAATTCAAGGCAGTTCGATATTGGATCAGGTCGAAGCTCCCTTGCGCATCTCGTTGCACCTTGTCCTCTGGCCCTTGGACATGTCGCAGCAGCTCAAAGGAGTGGAGCCACTGGTGGCCATAAGCACAAGCGCCGATGCCTGCATTCCACGAAATGTCGCTGAGCTCCACAGCCAATCTTGAACCCTGCGACAGAACTTCAAGACCCAGTTGCCAATGTCGTCGACACGCACTCAACGTTGTGCCAAGTCCCTTGATATCTGCCTGCAAGCCACGATGCCCGTGGACCATAATGTCCAACATCTGCAGCACAAGTGTCCATTGACCTGCTCGTTCGCATTGGGATTGAACAGCTCCGAAGCGCGCCACGTTGGGCCGCCGTGTGTCTAAGCTTCGAAGGGCCTCTGCCCAGCTTGCACCAACCCTGGACACACACATCACTTGCCATAGCAACGGCAGCTGAAACCTTGCAGACACCCCTCTTCAGCCCAGACCGAACGGAATCTTGATCCGAAAGGATTTGCCCCGGTTTGACCAAGCCATGGCACCCCCGGGATGCTGCTCAGACCCTCAAATCTCCAACGTGAGACAAACAAGACAAGTCGGGTGGTCCTGAGCTGTGACGTCAGACTTTGGAAGTTGCCAGCTCCTCATGTGGGTGCAGCAGACTTCAGAAAAAGGGAAGAAGACTGAGACGAGTCTGTTCCAATGAAAAGTTTACGGAATGGCTCATGTTCATTCATTTCTTGATGCTTGCTTCCTTAGTTGTCTTGAATTATTATGTGTTCGAATGATCCAATGAAACAAGTCTGTTGCTGGCTTCAAGTGTTTTTGTCTATTAATCATTCGTCATCGAAACATCCTGCGCCTGTGCCGAAGTCCCGCGCGAACTTGGCCTGAGTTCCACGCCGTCCCTCTTGCCACAAAGAATTCTCCGAGGCTCCAACGAACTCCTCGGTGGAAGCTTCATCAGCCTTCACCTGTTGCAAAGCTCTTCCACAAAATTGGTATACCCGGTATGGCGAAAGACTAGGGACCCAGGGAACTGCAGCCTTGACAGGATCGGTTTCCCTTAGCTATGTGGAGGCCATTGCCATAGTCATACACTGTAGGGTCTGTAGATTCTGCTACGGAAAAGAGTTTGATTGGCACAGAACGGATGAAACACAAAAGAAACGCTGTGGGAGCACATCAAAAATGTGTTGTCAAGCGACAAGTTCGGGCCTGCCGCCAACTCGTTGAAAGCAGCCGCCGTATGAAGCTTTGCAATTCATCCTCATGCCAAAATCAAACTATCCACAAACAACCTCTCTCGCACCAGAAACAATAAGACCAAATAAGGGAACGTGTTTTCATCGTCCTGAGGTCCTGAGATGCTCATTTTCAAGCCCCCCAATCGCAGCCCATTTGAGGATCCCATCTGTCCCGTCCTGGCTCTGCAAAGCCAGCACCATTTGCAGCCCACTGTCGCATAGGTCTGCAGAGGTCCCATTCACTCCTGGAGCACCGCTAAGTGATACGGATTCAAAAATAAAGTAAGCATCTAAGCGTCTGCTCTGCTGTTGGTATGAACAAGCTGGTAGTGACTGCCCACGAAGCAGTGGTGGACAATGATCCAACACAACTCCAATTGGGAGAATAGAAGTCCGGATGGCAAAGCTACAAAGGGGCCGCTCACTCACCCACACCTGAACGTGCCAGCAGCTCTGGGACCTGCTCTTCCTGTGGCTGTTGGGCCACCTTGTCGTGTCACAAAAGGTCACACTGCTTTGTTGAAACTTGTTGATTAATAAATCTCCCTACCGGGATAGTCAAACATCTTACCTTTGGGAGGCTCAAGTAATCCGCCGACCCCTGCCTAGCTGACGCCTAGGCTAAGCGGGGCAGCGCCTGGGACAGCGTAGCGAGAAGCGATTGCCACCAGCCTGCTCTGGCCCCTCTTGTCCCCGTCATTAAAGAACTCCTACCTGCCCAAGGTAGATCTCCGGACCTGTTTCTTGCAGCTGCCTATCTATGGGCTTCCGATTGAAACCTCCAGGGCCAGGGTGCTTCGCTGTGGCGAAGGCGAGGTTTTGGCACGGTCCATGCAGCCTCTGGACCTGCTGATTGCAGCTACCTGGGGTTTGTCCTGGAACATGGGTGAATCTGGCTTTTCTCTCAGCTTTCTGAAATGTGGCATGTTGTTGCGCCGGTGTCTTTCTCTTACTTGCTCTAAATAGAGGTCTGCGGCCCCCGGGCGTCGCCGGGCATTAGTCCATTCTATCCGGCGATGCCGTTCCAGCACCCCTATCAAGCTAGCTTGCTATACGAAGATGCGCTCCATGCCGCCGACCCCTTTTCTAGCATCACCAGGGCTCATGAGGCTTCGTCAAAAAGCATCAAAAACATGGGAAAATGATCGAAAATGGTCACTGTAAAGCTTATAGCTTCAAAACCTTTAGAACATAAACCTATAAAAATGGATGCAAATTTGGAGGAGGGATTTTGGTCGAGCATCATTAGCATCACCAACGTTTATGAACAATGCTGCTCGTACTCTGGGATGCCAATTGTGCTCGACACAATTGCTGCCTCAAAACTTCCTCTAAAAAGATTTGCGTCTTTCCTGCTCAGACTGGGCTTATATGTTTTCTTCTACTAGGGTGAGCCCGCGCCCGCGCCCGGAGTGTGGGCGTGCTCCCGCGTGCGCGGGCGGGCTGGCGGGCGGGCGGGAGGGCGAGCGCGCGAGTGTGCGTGCGCGTGCGGGTGCGGGTGTGGGTGTGCGTAGGTGTGTCCGAAGTTGAGTTCGCCAGGCTTTTTGTAGATGGGGTGTGTCGAGACCCTGCGCATACGCGCAGTCCCCCCAAGGGCATCGCCGGTTGGCGAAGCCTGTCAGTTAGCAGTCAACAGTATTTTGGAGACACGCCCACTTCCAACTAGCGAAGCTGGGAATCGCTGCAAAACAGGCCCTGCCATACCCTGCCCATGATCTTAAGCGTTTCGCCCGTTCATTGGCCCAAAAGCTCAGATCCGTGCGGATAAGTCTAAGCTTATCCTGCAAACAGCCATAGGTTCTGAAGTGAGGGGAACACTGCTCAAAACGCCGCTCAAGGCATGCAACTCTGTTCAAACGAGCCAGTACTACAAGAGCTCGCCCACGTGGTCTTCTAAGGGCATGGATGGAGGCCTCCATGGAATATGAGCCACCAAACTGGATTCGCAAAAGACCATGCGATCAGAGAAAACTTGAGGCCGAGGGTAGGTGACGAAAGCTAGCAGGGATGCGTCCGTGTCAGTGGAGGCGAAGCATACAGCGCCGTCCAGTGACAAAGGACTGGTGGGACAGCTGAGTGAGGCAGATCTTTTTTCATATGCACGGGGCTGTTGGAGGGATGGTTGACACGGTCTCGCTCCTGAGGTAGAACGTTGTGAACATGTAAGACACACGAACAGCAATGACACAGCCAACCTTAGCTTGTGAATCTGTTGAATCTGTTGCATCGTATCCCAAAACCTCCACGGACGAATTGAACCAAAGTGGATGCCATAAGAGGAGGTGTCCAAGAGGTGTCCCAGAGGCGTCCCTGGGGTTGAACCCGCGGGGGGGGGGGGGGGGGGGGGGGGCCCCCTCTACATATGAAGTTTTCACGTGATGCGGCGATCTCGAGGATTCCAGCCCCTCACTTGCTAAAGCAAGGAAAACTCCAGCTAGCTGGTGCTAGCTTTCGTGATAATGCCTAGCACGGAAATGTAGCCTTTCTCAAACAAGAACTTGTTCTGTGACGACTCCGCCCATCTGACTTGATGATATCTTTGCTACCTCTGCAATCTCTCGGTTTTCAGCTGAGCTCCGGTCATTCCACCAAGGCTTTCCAAGTACACGGCCCTTGCGGTAATGTCCTGAGGCTGAGTCTCTTTTACACGTCGAGGCACTACTTCTTTCGCTCGCGAAAAGAAGCGTCGCGCACTCGTGTGTCAGAATGAGAGCAGCATTCACTCTGGGGAGTCACCCGGGGCTCTCCTGCGCATGACCCTCGAGTTCCTCCCGGTCCGCCTCAGGGCAAACCTCAGCTGCCTCGCAAGAAGGATGGCCAAGTCCTAGCCTCCCTGGTCATCTGTTCGTTGCAATTTCTTGCTGACATGCATGACATGAAATCAGTGATACTCGGATACTCTGCCTCTTTGAATTTTGATGCTGCCCTCGCATGGTGAAGAGCAGCCTGCGCAGACTGGCCTTGGCCTCACACGTTTACATATCGTCCCACATTGTGCGAAGGGTATGTTTGAGGTCCTGGCGGTCTAAATCGGCCGCTTTCTCCTAGCGGAGGCGCAGTCTACGCCAGCAAAGTCTACTTCTCCACATACAAACAGCCTGGCAAGACTGCTCTCTCCCCCTCCCAACCAAGAACATCTTCTGCCAGATCAAGCAACGAACCACCACTCATCAAGTGTTAGGAGTAGCACGGAGTATTGTGGAAAACCATGGAATGCCAATTGAATACGCTGAGTCCGTTCAAAGCCCTGGCGTCCTCTGCTCGAAGCCCTTCGACCACCAGCCAGGCACAGCGCCCTCACTCACATGCCAAGTTTGTCTAGTGTTCTTTCCCTGCTACCCCGGCTGTCCCACTGTCCCACTTACTTTCCTGCTTGTAAAGTGAGGCTGCACCCCGGCAAGTCTGTGCACTTGCCGCTGTGCGACAAAATAAAACTATATCTAAAAAAAAACAACCTCTTGACGCTCCGTCTCATCTCTCTTCGGTCTCCATCCCATCATCTCTCCATCTCTCAGCCTTCGGGCCGTTGGGAGGCCATGTCCAGTTGCTGGTCGGGTCACGATGACAACTGTTGAGTGGACTGTATACTTGCGACTTCCAGAAAATCTTTCCAGAAGCTATCCTTCCAATACTGGGAACGTACTTGTCCACGTGGTTGATGGAATGTGTAGTGACAGGCGAACGGCCGACACGAGTCAACAAACCGCACCTGCACGTTTCCTTGAGCCAAACGTAAGGTAAGTATGACATGTATTAGACACACTAGCGTGAAACAACACCCCCTGCTGAACGAAAATGGGAGGAGTGAAGTTATGTACAGTGCATGAATTAAAGGACCTACGAAGGTATCCGGTCCCCCGGTACGTGCAACGCATCGAGCCGGATCGCGCCTTGAGATGGAGAGGATTTTGACCTCAAGGACGTATCGATCAAAGCACTGTCATGCTTTGATGCTAGTGTTGAACATGTCTGAAATTGATGCACGCAGTCAAGCTCAATGCACAGCGTCGTAATGGACTCTTTTTCGGCGCAACGGAACAGGAAGCGCAATGCCAACCTTTTAGAAAGCAGGAACAAAGCCATCAAGGCACACGCTCCCGCGTGGCGACAGAGCACAACAAAAGAATGTGCGCATCTGGATGCAAGGATTTGGAGTCAAGTACTTCGACTTAAACTCAAACGAATTAGCTGTTGGTTTCAGGCAACCGGTCCCCCGGTGCGTCACAGAAACGGTCATCTAGGCAACCGCTTCCGCGGTGCGATGAGGGAATACACAGCGCTCTACGACAGCCATGTCACCCGTGAATTTCATTCTCTTCTCGACAGGCAACGGCTCCCGCCGTGCGATGTGTCTACCACCTGCGCTGACTCCACCAGTCATTTCCTCGCCAGTCGCTGCCACGACCACGGTCATCTTCCCACCAGTCACGCGAGGATGACCACCACGAGGAGGAGGATGAAGAGTGCTGCCAATCCTGTGCAGAATCACTCCACGCAGCTCCCCGCCAACGATGCTCTGCACTCTCGGCCTGAGACCGTGTCGCTCTTGCCAAAGACTGTCCTGCCCCCGGTGCAGCCTTGGCTTTCGGGATCACGAGCGCTCTGGTCTCCTTGACAAGGTTGATGTTAAGGCCGGGGATGAACTGAGCATCTTCTGCCACGAACACAAGAAGTTCATCAAGGACGTCGTCTGGATCATCCTTCTCGCAGCGCCATTCGCCACCAAACCCAAGAATGGCAGGGCGTTTCGGTCCTTGGCAGTAATCTGCAGCGAAGGTTTCCGGCCGATGGAGGCGATTCTTCCAGTAAACAAAGAAGTCCTCGCTGATGTCGGCATCATCGCCCTTGGCAATCTCATTCATAAAGATGATCTTGCCGGAGTACCTGTGGCCGATTCCCTGAGCGATCATTTCACGCGTCCTTGGAGGATCGGGAATGACAGCATCGGAGAGGCGCTCGAGGAACTGGATGCAGATGGGCGATAAGTCCTGAGCTGCACAGTTGAATGCGTAAAAAGCATCAACAAGCTGCCGTTGCGAAACCGTCAGGCACATCTTCTCCGCCTTCTGGACATGGCTCTTGGCATTCGCCTTCAAGACGTTGATGCCAGATCGCGATGCACGTGGTTTCTCCTGGCCAGGCGTCCCCGCCGGCATCTTCCTCAATCCAGATCCTTGCAGCCTGTCGTCCGGAACCATGTCCATGGTGACTTCAACTCCAAGGTCTGATGCAATCTCCTCGATCCGGATGAGCTGAGCTGCTTTACACAGATCGGATGCATTGCTGAGGAATGCGCCGCAATTGGTGCAGGACATTGTGCCATGAGTGTATGTCTGAGTGCAAGTTGGGCACTGATCTTCAGGCATCTGAATCCCTTCAACGACCATCCAACGGGTGTTGCCATAACCCTCAGTGTCAGGATGAAACTTGCGCCAATCAAACCGAGGACGGTTGTAGTTGGGCAGCATCTCCTCAGGCGACACTTTGTTCTTGTAGGCGTTGAAGTTGGGCCTGCGAACAACATACGTGACCTCATAGACCTCCAGATCGGGGTTATTCTTCCCTGAGATCATTTGGTCCTTCACGTCACTGAGCTGAGACAACTTGCCGTAGACGAACGGTGAATAGGTGTCCACTTTGCTACACCACCTCTCATAGTCTCCAAGAACATGAGTGGTGTACTTCTCGAATGGACTCTTCACCATGTCATCATCATCGGCATCTGGTCCCCCAGTGCGCGCAGCATGGAATGCCTTGGTCCGGCCAGTGATAATTCCCAGCAAATGGGCGTACACATGATTGGCGAAAGAATAGCACTTGGCTTCCATGTCGTACACATAGATCACATTTCTGTTCGCGATACAATCTGGACACAAGATTGTTCCTGCCGTGGTTTCAATCAGTCGGTGTCCGTTCAGCACCATCAGCTGGAGATCCAATGCCACGCAGGTAGGGCGTGTGGCTGCCATAGCGGCATAGTCGGTTCCAGAGATAGTCCAGGATCTCTTTGGTGAGGAACGTGAATGGGGCACCAGTGCGATTGCCACCAGGGATGAGGCCCATATTGACAACGTCGAGAAAGGCTGCTCGATGGGTATAGTGATACAGAATGGTCGGAGCCACATCTGTCACTTTCCCCAACGCACCACAAGGAACCCTCGGAAACTTGCTGGCCTGGTATTCAGCAGCAGTGTACTCCTCGTCAAGGTTGATGAAGCGTTCATGTTCAGGCAAAGCGTCTTGAACATTGTTGTTTGACCACTCATTGTGGTTTTGCATCGCCTTGATTCTGAGTGGAGTATACTGGTACTTCCCGCCGACCAAAGTCCCCTTTCGCGCAATCTTCACCTCAAGCATGAACCGGTGATTGGACGTAATGACTCGGAGGAGCTCATCGTTGGTCAGGTTCACATCATACTTGCGTTTGAGTTTCATGAAACTGTAGACCTTTCCGTAGTCCATCCACAGGCCCTTGTCGAAGCTGGGTGGTTGCACCTTATGCCAGGTCTACTTGCTGTGTTCCCACCCACAAAGGAGACCGGAAACACGTCGTGAGATCCAGACCTGCTTCGAGTTCAACTGTGGCAAGTTGGAGGCGCCAGGAACCGATCTCGATTGCAGTGCCACTGTCTCGTTCTCCCCTAGTGGCGAAGGTACGGATGGCGCCGGAGGCGCACGAGGCATTGCCTTGGCCTTGACGGCAGGCTTTGCTGTAGGTGTCGTATCCGAGGCCACAGCTCCCGCCGGGCGTTTCGGTACCTTGGGCTGAGTTGCTTCAGTTGACTTCATCTCAACGTCGGCCTCAGCTCCCGCCGGGCGTGCTTTCGGCTCGGTTGCGCCAGATTTCGGCGTCTTCTCAACGGCTGCATCTGGTAACTTGGGCGCCGGTGTCTTTCCCGGCGCCTTCGCCTTTGGGATCTTCTGCTGCGGAGCCTTGTTCGCCAGGTCAGGTTCATTCCCCAAGGTGGTAACCTCGCGAAACTTCCTGAGGGCCTCGCCAATGAGCTGAGGGATGTCCTCTTCGGCCATGTAGATGCGAATGAGGTCACTCTCATCATCCTTCTTTCTCAGCTGGCAGGTCACACCAGCAACCTGGCAAGACTCAGCATGCATAGATGTGAGCATCGGCTCTTTGAACAGAATCTCCTCATCGGAGTCTTCATCTGGCTTGTCCTTATCTTCATAGCCTTGCTTAATGGCAGATTTGAGATGATCCTTGAGAAGCTCGTTGACATACTTCTCATCTTCGATGGGGTCGTTGGACAATGAGCTCTTCTTCTTCCGTGATGGGTACAGGATCCACCTCGGTGTCACCCTCTTTTGGCATCTCAGTGGTGACAGAGACGAACTCCATGCCCGGAGTTGTGACTGGGGCCTGATTGTTTCCATCTCGGCCATCCGTCCCCGGAGGCGAATCAGCGCTGGGCGCAAATGCGTCATCGATCTCAATGACCTCTGGCTCACCTGCATCCGGCATAGGCTGATCAGCCGCGGACGAGTCAGGCGCGATCTGAACATCCTGACCTTCGTCATAGAAATCCGGGCCAACGGTCCCCCTGACCTTCGTCATAGAAAGCGAGCACCGCAGTTCGCTTCAACAGGTCCTTCCAATTCCCGTCGT